CGAGCTATCCGGCCGGGCTCCGACGAGTTCGTTACGCTGAGTTATGGCCAGGCTGTCACGCTGAGTTGTCACTTATGCCAGGTCATGTCCACGTGTCCCCATGCTACGAGGTCGGGCCAAATCACCCTCCATCAACTGCCCCCCACTCCCCGTGTTGGGGGTTCTGACCTAGTGCGGGGAGTCCGCGGTGTGCCGGGTGGATTTGGCTCGGAGCTCAGGTCTTCTTGTCAGGCAGCTCATTGGTCGGACCAGTTCACTGCTCGGCTCAATCAAGAGCAACCCGGGTCGCGTACGGTTCATGCATGGACGTCACGCGATCTATGGACTCCGCGGACGTCAATAAACGCGCTAAACCGATTTCGCCTCGGGGGTCGCGTAGCTGGTTTTCTTGAGAGCCGTCAGATCGTCTTGATCTTGACCGTTGATGCCCGAGTATAGCGGCTATAAATAGTGGGGGTCTTGGGCATTTTTCTCTCGTCATAAGTTCTCAACATTCGTCTTGAGCTCGCGTCTAAGGTCTCCAGCTCGGGTCATCTCCCCAGTTCGGTTGCTTTTCCTTGGTGAGTCCCCTTAGCTTTTCTTTCAGTGTCCTTATTTCTTCCAGTTCGTTTCTCTCTATCACCATGTCTAGTTTCGATAGTCAACTGGATGAGCCCGAGGTAGGTACCTCGGCTCAGGGTGACCCTACCGAAGTCCAGTCTCACGAGGCGCGGGAGGCCTCGGGTAATCTGGCGTCCACCTCTCACCGAGGTCGGATGCTGGATAGGTTCGGTCCTTCCACCATGACCCTAGAGAGACTCCGACACCTTATCCGGCAGTACAACTTACCTAGGGAGTATACCTACAGTCTGCCTGCGGGTAACTTCCCATGGGAGCACGGTCCTAACAAGATCGTGATCTTCCAGGAGCAGCTCATAGCCGGGCTCCGTCTTCCTCTCCACCCCCTTGTCATAGAGGTTCTGAATCACTTTAACGTCACAATATACCAACTTCACCCGAACTCCATTCGTAATGTGGTTGGGACCATTTCCCTCTGCTTTGATTACGCCTTCCCTTTAGACTTAGATATTTTTTGTTCAATTCTCTCAATAAAGAAGAGCGCTTCAAGCGTTCTCCCCAAGCATAGGCGGGCCTACTACCTATCCCCTCGCCCGGGTCTCAAGTTACTACACAAGCTTCCCAGCAAAGTCCCGGCTTGGAAGCAGGACTACTTTGTAGTCCGGAACATCGTGGGGTGGCCCTTCCCCACTCATTGGAGGGTGGGTGTTCAGGACCCCGACGTTATACTGGAGAAGGAGACAAGGGAGACGCTCCAGTCATGGGCTGAGCTCGGGTTTGATTACAAGGATTATATCGCCGAGAGCAAGCTCATACAGGCCGGCTTGAGCCCGGGTAGGTTCTTACCTAGAGTTAAACATTTTACCTTAGTAGCTTGTACCTTTGAGTTGCTGACGCTGAGCTTTGTTGCAGGACCCATGGAGGAAGAGAAGCTTAAGGGGGAGAGTCTTTTCAACCATATGAAGGGGAGAAAGAAGCAAGCTGCCAAGAGAGCTTGCGTCGAGTCTCCGCAGGTCCCTACCTCTGAGCCCGAGCTTCCTGATGCCTCTCCGGTCATTGACTTAGAGGAGGATTTACACCTCGGGAGTCTGAGACGGCGACAGAGCCTTTTCTAAGGCAGCTGTGGAGCCCGAGGTCGCTGCCGAAGCCATTGATGCAGTGAAGCCTCTGCCGAGCCCATTCGTGCAGCTGAGACGACAATTTCCAGCTC